AATCCTCTGTGCTTGCTTTGTTGTGGAGTGGAATTACCCATGCCATTTTCCCATCAGTCTTTTCAGTTTCTTCAGGCAGAGTGAAAACTAGTGTGCTAATATATTTATGCATTGCCATTCTGATTCTATGAATTCCACTATCATGCAATCGTCGCCAGAAGCCCTTCCTCGCTTCGCCTATTTCTGCTGGAACCTTTCCTCATTTATTGCATCTCTTACTGCTTCTGGCAAGATATCTGGAATTTCGTCAACCTCATTGTGTATCTTCAATTTTATCATCGTTACCAACGATAGCGCTGCATTTATCTTTGTACATACAATATGCTATATAAATCTTTCACCTTCTTTATTTAACCCTAATTATAGTCCTGACTTCTGCTTTGAGAGCTAATGTATGTGGTTTACCCACCGTCAGTCTTTAATCTCATTTCCGTAAATTTTGTTTTCATGGTTTTCTTTACCAGTTTACAGTTCACTACTCGGTCTTCTTCATTAATTCGTTTCCTTAAGGTTTTAAAGGTTCCACATATTCCATCATTGATTTCTAATCTGTTGCTATCTTCATATGTTTTCGTTTCTTAATCATTTCTTTCTTTTCTTTTAGTTGGTGATTTTTTGACCGACTTTCGTAATGCTTGTTCCATAGATGTTTTTTGCCATTTTTCGGACTGCATTTTTTTATCCTGTTAAATTACGTTTATGCCCACTGCTGCTCCTCTTTTATTTTTCTTCATTCCATGAAGGCGGTCGAGTCGACTATTTAAATTCACTTGCAAAACCGCGAGATTCTTCTTTGGTGTTTCTACTTAGAATGGGTCGAGTTTTGTCCTCGGCGGCGGTTTCCTTCTTTCTTGGCTTAATCTGGGAGCACCTTGCCTCAAACGCGTAAGAATCGGTGGCCGCCCTGCATTGAACCCGCTCAGTGCCAGAGCGTCCTACATTGAGTTCTTTATGTAGCCTAAGGACGAAATAAAATTTTTTCTTGACCTCATTTGAATCTTTCCATTGCAATTTTTTGTTTAATTATTTCTAGTAAAACTTGTGTATATTAAATCACTTGTTCTTTTTAGCAAACTGCATTTCTATCATTCCTTTTGGCATAATTAAATTTGCCCATATGGCATTGCCATTCATTTCTATGCTTTGGTTCGACTTTGGCGTCATTAAAATTACAAATCATGAATTTATAATGTTAATTCTTTCTATCTTCTTACACTTATTTTATTTCTTGGTAAAACTCTTTAATCTGTTCATGACAGTTGCACATGTATTTCGATATTTGAATCATTTGCACATTACATTTGCATTACATTTATATTATACAGGCTCTAAGAACCAGTTTTGCGCCTCTGTCTCTGAAGTATTGTACTGTCACATGTTATTCTTCATTAATTACACTCTAATTATTGATCAACGTATATTTAGTAGCTTTCATCGCACAATGCCGTTCGACATGCTTTTCGGTCGTCGAAAATCGGCCCAGGAAATGCTGCGCCAAAATCAGCGTGCGTTAACGCGAGCCATGAGGGATTTGGACCGTGAGAAGTCACATCTGGAGATGCAGGAGAAGAAGATCATTGCCGATATCAAAAAGACAGCAAAGCAAGGACAGATGGTAAGAGCATTCGCAGCAGATTTGCCAGCCTTTTAAAGCTGTATGCAACAATCTAGAAGAGCAGAAACCAAATACAATTAAGAATCTCTGTCTGGCGACATAGATTCAATGTGTTTTTAGAATTTCCAGGGATTGCCAAATATCTCTGCATCCACACACCCGTCCATTGTTATAGCCTCCACTTCTACCCACCTAATCCTACTTATTTCGCTTGTAAGAATTTCTAATTTTTTATCCTCCTTAACGAAGGCTTACGTGTACTTTTCCTCAGCTGGCGATTTTTGTGCCCCGTGGATAAAAGCTTTTGATGTATATAAAGGCATATTTCCAGAAAGCTGACAGCTCAGCTGATAATGAAAAATCTTTTTGTTGTAGAACAGCGAAGCCACTACACGTAGTTAATCAGTCGCATCAGAAACGAAAGATGAGGCAGTACCAATAACCTTAGCAACCTCAGTCCTTAGCTCTGGCACTCAAGCCTAACCTTAACTGAAATGAGGATTGCATAGACATACTGCAAGTCTGTTTTGCTAAGCAACAGCCATATACGTCACAATATTGTCTGCAGAACGATGGCATAGCTTTGAAGCACCGGCGGGAACAACGGTTATAATAGCTGTTTTTCAGGACGCTGTTAAAGTGATGGCAAAGGATCTTGTGAGAACGAGACGGTACGTGAAGAAGTTCATCATGATGCGGGCTAACATTCAAGCGGTGTCGCTCAAGATCCAGACCCTTAAGTCGCAGGACTCCATGGCACAAGCGATGAAGGGCGTCACCAAGGCGATGATGTTCATGAACCGGCAGGTATTGACAGTTATGTGACTGGCTATCGTTGATGTGTCTATTTTTCTGTCTTTATAGCTCAAGCTTCCTCAGATTCAGAGAATCATGACCGAGTTCGAAAAACAGACCGAGGTGATGGACATGAAAGAAGAAATGATGAACGACGTAATTGATGACTCGATGGGAGATGCTGAGGATGAAGAAGAAACGTAAGTCTTTGAGACTCTGGCTTTTAAAAGCTTTCATTTTGCCCTCACGAGGTACTCTTTCTTAGCACGATAAACGCTGTTTAGCTATGCGGTTCCTGTTTTATCGGTCTTCTTTCATCATAAATGTTGATTTTATTAAGAAAATTAAAGACTCATGGAACAGGGATTGAGGTAGGTATCATACAGTAGTCCAGGATGATTTGTCGCCTGCGTAAATGTAGAATTTGGTATGGGCTTCTTAATCATCGTATAACTGAAGCTGTAATGTCCAACTGATTTGACTAATCAACATGTTACGACGACATTTGATTCACTGGCCACTTTGTAGTGGTAAGACACGGCGCCGCTGTAAACCGATCATGTAACATTACCCCTCATTCAGACCTCAGAACATAGTTGAGTCTTTCTCTCTCACTCTCCAGGGAATTGGAGGTCATGGACAACCGAACACACTGCATAATACCTTTCGTCTGAAACTATTTGTCATTTGTTTACCTTCCACATCTGACATTCATATGAGCCGTTGTTTACAGACTCCAGTTGTAACCACAGCATTCTGTCATAATTACTCTGTGAATTCAATGACCACGCCGAAACGTTTTAAAGCGTGATCTTAAAATGTTGACCAAAACCTACGTAACGAGTTGATCGTCCGGAGAAACCTACTGCGTTACATTTTCTTCAGAAAGCCATGTACTTTCTCGTTTCTCGATCACACTATTTCTGTTGGTGTCCGACAATCTTGGTTATAGCCGAAGGTAGACAGACTGAGTACTTCCTTCGATACTAGATAAATTTAGACGTAACATATATCATATATAGGTGTGTCCATAGGCACACGTGGACTGAACTGTAAAGCCCTCATAACGACTGCTTAATCTCATCACTGATCTTACTATAATGTTTAAATTATCCTGCGTTTAAAGGGACGCAATCGTCAACCAGGTGCTGGACGAACTCGGCATTCAAATCAACGAACAGCTA